ATGTTTTTTGGTTCATCTATTCTTGTTGCAATTCTTTTTAAAATCATTAATTTCAGCCTCTGTCAATCGGTTATTTCGCATGATGTCCCTTCTTACATTGGCTAGTTTATTTTTTCTATGTACTTTCTAATTGTTTGCCCAACCTTCTCTCATATTTGTCATATATTATTATTATTATTATTATTATTATTATTATTATTATTATTATTATTATTTCTTTGATTTCTGGCGTTTACATATTTCTTTCCCATCCCGCCCAGGAACCTAAGGTTAAAATGGCGTCATGACAAGGTTCCACTGACAAAAAAAAAAAATTAAATTACATAGATAAAGCCCTTCGTAAGGTGTATTTTGTTTTTGAGAACAATTTTTGTTTGTCCTTGAGGCATGGACTTCCAGGAATCCTTCAATGATTAGTTACTTTTCAATTATTATTATTATTATTTGATTTATTTCCTTTGATTTCTGATTTCTTCATTTCTTTCCGGGTCACGCCCATGGATTGAAAAGTTAGAAATGGCATCATTATCTTTCCATTAAAAAAAATTTAATTTTTTTGTTCATAAAGATTAAATGTAAATATTTGTCCTTTTTTTAAAATTTTTATTATTATTATTATTATTTGTCAAAACTTTTGTTAGAATAATGAAAGTTTTATATTTATGATTTTCAAAAATTTGGTTAATTCTTGTTAAATATATATTTAAATAATGTCATCCAGTCTGATTTTGGGTATACAAGGAGGGCGTATTTATTTTATACATCATTAAAATAGGGACATTATGGTGTCACGTTTTTACAAAAAATAACACAACCTTACCATGATTTAATGTTTGGGTTTCTTGTTTCGTCGTCGTCGTCGTAGTAGTAGTAGTAGTAATAATAATAATAATCTGCACTGGAAAATCTGCGACTTCTACGGGAAGAAAACTGAAAGAAACTGGTATGAACACCACCCAGACCCGGTTACGGAGATAGGACCTGTTACAATTCTATGGGACTACACAATACACACTGACAGAACAATCAAAGGCCAACCGCCCAGATATTGTTATTAAAGACCATAAACAAAAAAACGGTGCCTCCTTATTGATATGGCAGTCCCTGCCGACTGCAATGTATCTTTGAAGATATTCAAAAAGTTGTCAAAATACAAGGACCTTGAAATAGAAATCGCGAAAATGTGGCATATGGGAACATCAACAATCCCTGTTGTAGTTGGAGCCCTAGGACTGGTTGGAAAAGATTCCAGTAGACTAATTGAAGGGATTCCTGGAAGTCCATGCCTCAAGGAGATACAAAAAATTTCTGACAAGTACAGCCCACACCTTACGAAGGGCTTTATCTATGTAATCTTTTTTTTTTTTTTTTTTTTTTCAGTGGAAAGTGTCATGACGCCATTTCTAACCTTAGGTCCCTGGGCGGGATCCGGAAAGAAATGTGTAAACGCCAGAAATCAAAGAAAATAAAAATAATAATAATAATAATAATAATCATCTCATTTTATGTTCAGTAATAGAAAATTTCGCTATTTCACTCCACCCAACCAGCAACTCAGATGTTATGCTAATTTGGAGCCATCAATATATACTTGACGCTGTCTAGGGGTAATCAACCATCACCTACATAATGCAAATTTGAATATATTTAAGCACAAACATGTCTATCTCTCTTTTATTAATCGCTCCACACCCAAATTTACTTTTATAATTGCTCAACTAAGCAACACAATGAAATGGGCCACAATTTGCGAAATCATATGCTTAAAAGCATGTAACGCCCGCTTATTCACATTTTTACAGATGTTCGGTCAGCTCCAACCGTTTAAAGATAGTTAACAAGGTAGTTTATAGGCCCATTAGATTGTCGAGGTGCCATGCTGAGTAATTGACCTTTATAGCATTTCTCAGGTCAATGGAGATGGCATGGCCGTGTTCATCTCCTTTTCACCAGGTAATATGCGTCGAGTTGTTCCAGGTTATGTGGTACCAGCGGCAAGCAATAATCCCTGCTCATTTTTTCCTTTCTCTGGAATTTACGCGGAAGAATTGCTTCATAATTTTCCCGAGGGCATTAATACAAAGTGAACGCTGACAGACTCAGTTGGAATTTGATTTTTTTTTTTTTTAACTCATTGTCTGTGTGGTTAACCGTAACTCCTCTACACACACACGAAATTTTATGGACTAGATAAACAAAACAAGACTTTATAGCTTCTTCAGATAATGTATACCATACCATTTTTAGCAGTTTTCTTACGTAAAAATAGTGGTTCGTACTATACACAGGTAATCTTTTTTGAAGAGGTTAAAAATCATGCATTTTCGGTGATCAGTTACGCTATACACAGGTCATCCCCCTAATCTGGAACACCACACTTGTTTCAGTTATATTTTCATGCCGTGTTCATCCATCCAACCCTTTTCATGAACATCGATATCTAATCCTTTAGGAAGTCCATTTTAAACCTTACGCCTACCGTATTAGTGGAGGTACCTAATTTAAATAATATCTTTTCACGAATTCAAAATAAATCCTTAACAATTTTGACGATTTTTAACCGCTGAGCCTATACGATATACACATGTAAGAATTTTTTCTTTACAAACTAACTGTCTAGCTTTCTTAAAATTACATTTCTCTCAAAAGAACGTCTACAAAAAAAAATCAACGTAAACGTTTAAACATTTATTTAAGACTAATTTTTATAGTAATAAAAATAAAATTTTTATAAGCCCGTTGAAATACGCAACCACTGTGTAAATAATAAGATGGCTATTAAATATTGATAGTAAAATTTTAATAGAATCAGATCCTGATCTATATGATCGAGAATAAAAAAATAAGATTATATTATTATCGAAAGTGGATCTACAAGAAATTGCATATTTTATGTTAAGATTGTAATAGCCGTGTAACATTGAGCGCTACTAGTATCTTTCACAGGATCTTTACATGTGGAGAACGTAGAAACGTTGATATCGTAAATTTAATGGCGGAACTATACAGCTTACAAATGTGATCAGCACAGGTGAAAATATAATCATAATGGGATAAAATTGTCTTATTATAATACACAATATACAGAATAAGTGAAATTCTACTGACATGTGTCGATTTTAGATATTCTGCTCTCCTCTTTTAGTTTTCGTTGATATTCAAGTCATGAGGCGAGAAAAGGAGAGTAAGACTTAACAGAAAATAAGACAAGAGTCCATTGCGGTGTGTAATAATAACTTCCCCCCTAAATCCGCTTGTTACTTTTTAGCCCGTCTTGCTTTGGACCCCGCTTTCCTCCTATAAATTAACAAATCTACATCATCTCAGATCAAAAATAACAAAGGCGAAAACTTAAAAAAAAGAAGAATCCACCCTCCTGATATCCGGCCAAAACACTCACCAGTTACTTCTGTCTCTGAACAAAGATGCGCAGCGCATCAGCATATAGGGAACATTCCCAATTGCTTAAGGTCAGACAACTAAAAATTAGATCTATAGAACTGAATGGAATATTTACTGTAGCCTAATAGGTTGAAGCGTTGGTTCGTGAATTTGGGGACATAGTAATATCAGGAAAAACGAGGCGAGGAATAACTAATTAGAATAAATATAAACCTAAACATGGGCAGCGGATTGAGGACAATACACGCACGTAGATTAATAAAAGCTTTAAATTTAAAATACCCTTAGAGAATTCATAGAATCCACAACCCTAAGCCAGTATTCACGATCCTGTATAGCTGCCATCTGGTCTTCCGTCCTATTCCCGGTATCACTGCTAATGACATCAAGGAGGTTAGTTTAATATCTGTCTATATCTCTGAGTTGAGATATTATGATTATTTACATTATTTGGACTGTTATCCTCATCTTCATTGCCATATTCACAACGTTTCGGCCTCTATATCTCTGAGATGAGGTATTATGATTATTTACATTATTTACATTATTCGGACTGTTATCTTCATCTTCATTGCCATATTCACGTTTCGGCCTCTATATCTCTGAGATGAGGTATTATGATTATTTACATTATTTACATTATTCGGACTGTTATCTTCATCTTCATTGCCATATTCACAACGTTTCGGCCTCTGTCACTGAGATGAGGTATTATGATTATTTACATTATTCGGACTGTTATCCTCATCTTCATTGCCATATTCAGAATGTTTCGGCCTCTATATCTCTGAGATGAGGTATTATGATTATTTACATTATTTACATTATTCGGACTGTTATCCTCATATTCATTGCTATATTCACAACGTTTCGGTCTTTGTACGCTCCGGCCTTCTTCGGGTGATTAGAATGCCGAACCGAACCTTTTATTTCGTCCACCGGTGTAGATTGTTCTAGTTCCACGTGGCATGCCACTTCAGGGTGTCTCAGTTATTTCTCTTTAGCTCAACACTCTAAGTTTTTGAACTCACAACTCTTTGGGTCTAGTCACTGGATCTAACCAACGTCTTTATCCACTGGACCATGTGTCCTTGAGTTTAATTTATTGTTTCTTCTGTCGTGGAGCTAAGGTCTCCAGCGGACGAGTGATAAAAGGACCTCATTCGCTTCTCTATGACAGTGACCCATAATCAGCTTTTCCTCGGGAGGAGACTGGACATATGTTACTCTGTATCATTTCTCTGGTAGGATGCTGTCTCTACACATCGTCAAAGTTTTGTGTGGGTGCCATCCTATCTTTTCTCAAGTTTTGCTTTGATTGATTGGTTGATTTGTTTTTTATGGTTTATCAACCCTATGCAGGTTATTTCAAATCAGAAAATATTATTTTTATATTGTAAAAATCTTTTGTGTGGGGTGGGAGAGAGATAATAATGATTTAGTGATACAATTACTAATTAACCCATATCTGGAGGAGAATAGGCGGATTTATACCTTTGAGTGTAAGTGAATATAATGAACCCAACTGGAATTGGAACTCTTTACACTGATTAACAATTCTGAACCCTTATCCATTTCATCACCCGCACATCCAAGTTTACTGCACCTAGTATTGCCAAGCGGACACCCATCTAAGTACTGACCAGGGTAGACGTTGCTTAACTTTGGTGGTCGTACGGGAACTGGTATTTAAACGTGATGTGGCCGTAAGCTCAAGTTTTACTGACACTTTCTGTTGTGGATTCCGGGTTGAAATCCGGTACCAATAAATAACAAACGCCAAGAATGAATATATGAAAATAATGTATTAACGTAATAATACAAACTAGTAATGCAGGTTAGTAGTTCCAGGAATACGGGTTAGTAGCAAAATATATATATACAGTCTTTGGTATTGAAGTATCGCTGTATGACTTCTTACTGGGTCTACGTGCTTGCTCACTGTGACTCCTACAACACTGTTCCCTCACCCCCACTCTTCCGGTTACCTACAGCCTTTTACTCTGTCACTCTGGACTCGACTCTTCGGTCTTGCTCTCTCTCTCTCTCTCTCTCTCTCTCTCTCTCTCTCTCTCTCGTCTCGCTGTTGCTGTAGTATATGTATATACTGGATGAGTTCATTTGTATAAAAAGGGGTGGACCCCTCAACACTTTCTATGTTTCAGAGTTATATTGACTCAACTGTGGCCCTAATTATTTGCACCTTAATCTCGATTCTCAGGTCAAAGACCCAGATTTTATGCAGGTTATTTGAGGCAATTCAAGCCAGAAGAGAAATTATAAGAGTCTAGGTATATGTAGACATCAACTTGATTAAGAACTGTGTGTTATTTAATGTTTTAATTCCAGTATTTGCGCTATTATTTTACAAATAGTTCATGTACTCCGTTTGTTTTGTTTAAGCAAAAGCCAATAAATCATAATGCCTAGCTAATTAATCAGCTAATTCTTTCGCAGATCATGTGTTCAGTCTTAACTGAAGTTAAGCCTTAACCCCATGCAATGTTCCCGATTTATACTAAGCTATGCTTAGTAAATATCTATCTATACTACTTATAAAATTATGGTTAATAAGTTCGTTTCACAGAACATTGTTATTATCTCTCTGATTTTGCCTTTATGACTTTTCGATATGTTATTGATTGCCAAGTAGCAGTTGGTTGTTCGTTATGTTGTCGCTAGCAACCTTTCTTGTTAGCCAATACACGTGAATCGGGATCCCAGATCGGGATTGTCTTTTTTGTTGTCTTATTAACATGTTTTATTTGCTACAAGTCTCTTAATGCATCTTTTTTTTTTACTTTGTCATTTCAGACTGAAAGCCTCCAAATGTCCTCTCTCTTCTTCTACGCGAACAAAAACTCTTGGCCCAAAATAATGTGTGAGATTTTGGAAGAAAATAGTGACGAAAAATCACAGAACTGAATATATATATATATATATATATATATATATATATATATATATATATATATATATATATATATAAGAAATGTAAAAGAAAATTGCAGTAATAACAGCAAACATATTGTGTCAACGAGACTGCACGAGACTTTTTTTTCTAATCTCGTAATTCATACGAGACTTTATGTTCCTCATGACCTAAAATTGGTCGACATTTATTTAAGTTACAGGACACATTTTTTTTTAATTCCAGAGACATTGATGCGTTTTTGTCCACAGTGGACATTTCTGGACGACAGGGGGGACGTTACAGAAGGGGTGGGTGGGGAAGAATGTCTTTATATATAACTGAAACATGAAACAGACAAAGAAGAAAAAAAAAAGAAATATCCATATTTGATTTTTCTTTCAGGATTCAAAATGATGAAATGGACTTTTTTCAGCCTCTCATCTCTAACCAGTCATCGAATTTAATAGACTCTTGCTCCCCAACCAGATTTCTATATTTATATACATAAGATAACACAAAAAGAAAAACTTAATGGTAATAATAATAATATCAACTAATGGACCTTTTTTTTTTATTTGGTCTGTGTTATATTCAATCATGTTACCCGGTCTTTTAAACACGTTTTATTTTAGAAAGCATTTTGATTTCATTGCTGTTGGCTTCTTGCCGTACAAAGATGGATTGTCAGCTCGTCTTACAAGGTGTCGATTCTTATTGGCTTTATGCTCAACTCGACTGAGTTTAGTAAATTAGTTTTTACTAAATTCAACCGAGTTGAGCATAAGTTTAGTTTAGTCTGGCATAAGGCCCAGTGTTGAAGAAATATAGAATTAGGAAGATTGTCTTGAGATAATGTCGTTATGTCTATTAGGTAGGTGTTATTTCCCAAACAATTATTTAATATCATTTTGATGATTGAAAAGCCATTTGCATTATGCATTTGTACTCATAACAGATGCTTGACTGCAATAATCTCTTAATAGGCTATATCATATAAATGTGGTTGACCGTGTGAATGTGTTTGCGTGTGTGTTTGTATGTGTGTGTATTTGTCGTTCAATTTGTGTGATTTTGAAGTATTAAGCTTATGTTGCATGTATTGAAAACACTTGTATACACACAGGCAAACACACACACACACATATATATATGTATGTATATGGGGGTTGTTAATTTTGTGTGATTTTTAAAAAGTAAACTAAATGCAGAAATTCTGTGGTATGTACTGTATGTATTAAGAACGCATGAATGCATATATATATATATATATAATTTAGAATAATATGACAAACTGGAAAGTTGTTTTTTGGTTTGTTTTTTTTTTGTGACGCGTTTCATCGGACTGGGCTTTGATGACATTGCCACGTCTACACATGCGCATGAAACGAGAGATGCAGGTAGTTTCAAAAATTTTTGAAAGAATATTTTTTGAAAGAATTTTAATTTTAAACTACCTGCGTCTCTCGTTTCGTGCGCATGTGCAGACGTGGCAACATCAACAAAGCACATTCCAGTGAAATCCTAACGGATGAAACACGTCCCAAGAAAAAATTCCCAGTTTGTCATATTTTTCTAAATACTGTTTATTGATATATAAAATTATACGAAATTATATATCGTTATATCATAATATATATATATATATATATATATATATATATATATATATATATATATATATATGTATATATATGTTTGTGTGTGTGTGTGTGTGTGCGTGTAATGCTATATAGATAGGTCTATCTGTTTATTATTCTATTGCAGTTTTACACTTGTTCATCGGGACCAAAACTGTACATAAACTGTCCAAAGTTCATGCTTTATTCCGTTATTGTTTAAATAATTTTGTTCCCGATATACAAAATCTTATTCGAAAAATTCAAAAATTCACCAGACAGACCTAATTGGTTGAATTTAACAAAACCTATTTGAATTAATTATTACTGCCTGAATATATCATATATTTATACATACACACACACACACACACACACACATATATATATATATATATATATATATATATATATATATATATATATATATATATATAAGAGTCTATCTAATATAATCAGCTATAAATTTAATAACTGGTGTGAGTTGAGAAGTAATATCAAGGAATGCTATTAAAAGAATAAAAACATTGCCGGTGTAGAGAACTCGATTATCACAGGGTACTCCACTCGTGTGGCCTTATGCCAAAGCAAAAGTAAACCTAATTAATATATATAATTACACAAGTGCAAGCAAAGCGAGATAAAATTCCGTAAGTGCAGACACAAAAAGAAAAGATATATCAAATACATATCTAGAAAGATAAGTGTTGTTTTTCACACGTATTCAATCACTTTCATTGTCATCTGAAATCAGATTATGATTTGTGCCAATTTTTCTAGAGATTTTTAAATATTTTCTTCTCCTCGTCTTAGATTTAATTTTTGAAGTTTAAAAAGTTAAATATATGGTGTTTTTATTTATTTATTATATATTTCTTCAATATGAAGCGAAAAAAAAAAGAATACCTGTCGTCGGATTACTCTTACGAGATTCACACCTACACACATATTTAGAGTATGAAACCCCGCACAATATAATATTAATTATAAGTAGTAATTTTTTTTAGTGTGCTCAGATTACAGACATTGATATCACTGAAATTTATTTAACGAAATCACTCACACCCAATTTTCACATTGAACTGATCTTCTGAACCCAGATTCACAAATTTCTGGTCTGGTGTTCTCTCTACCGCAAATAAAAGCGCGATTATGTTTGCAGCGAAATTTACAAACTGCAGACGTAAAAACGTCGCTAACTATATAGTGTTGATGCCCTTTTCACAACCATTGTTGTCATTAATATTAAAAAAAATAAAAATAAAAAAAAAAAGAGGGAAAATATGGCTGATTAGAACAGGAAAGATTGGTTCTTCTTCTTCCAATTCCAAAGATGCAGATCCAATTCGACTGTTTGTAAATAAATTCGAAAAATTCCAGCCGGACAAAAAATACACTGAAAAACAATGTTACATTGTAGATGATATTTGTACATTTACTACTGATTATATTGAACAGGTAATTTTTTTATCATTTAATGAATAACTTGGCGTCAGTTTTGTTGAAGTCTTCCAGAAGCTGTGGTAAGGTGTAACGTCGTCAATCATTTCTCGTCTCAGCTGAATATTCTATGACGACTTTACAAAGAATATGCTTACACACAAGAACTACGAAGGTGTCTATCCTAAACTAATGTCTTTTTGTTTTGTTTTTGTTTTTGTTTTTTTAAAACTCGTCTTGCAGACTAATTTTGATAGCGAGTACTTCAGGAATATGATCTTACTCGCGACTAACCTTACAAAATATTATCTGTAAGGTTGTCCTCCTGCGAAATAATTGTTACTAAACTCAACCCGCAGATTATTACTTCAATACTCATTTATGCCGCATATATGAAGCTTTGAACTAAACTAATTCTCAGCTTGATATTTCAAAAATGGACTCAAAGACGCCATAAAATAAGAGTAGCAATTAAATTTTTACAGAATTTAATCTGAGACTGACAATCTGACAGTAATATCCTAGACCAGGAAAACGCTTATATCAGAAATCTAGTAACGTAATACATCAAAAAACTGTAATATCGTAAATCCGAAAAGCAGCTATAGCATGGATCAGAAATCTAGTAATATCGTAAATCATAAAGACAGTAATATCATAGATCAGAAATCTAGTAATATTATATATCAGAAAGAATAGTATCATAGATAAACAGACAACAATATCATAGATTCAAAAGAGTAAGATCATAAATAAAAAAGACAGTAATATCATAAACCCGAAAGAGTAACATCGATCAGAAAGACAGTAATATCATAGGTCAGAATGACAGAAAGAAAGAAAGCTTTTGCTAACGGATTAAATAAAATGAATACATTTATTCATCTATTTTAAGGGAATTCTTTACGAGATCAGATTACTCTATATAAACATTTTAAAATCATAAAGCATTTAGCTACTAAAGCGACAAGATTTCCATATAGCGGAATCCTAAGCAAATTATAGATCTATTTGACAATTGTTAACGGAAAGCAAGGCTTCTCTCCCTAAACTAACGTTAGAATTACCCCTCCAGACGAGTAACAATTTAGGTACTTACTGCCAAATGACTTGAACACTAGCTTGTTTAATGTAGACGTAAATTGTGGCGAGAAATCCAATTTACCTGCTAGCGCCTTTAGCTACCTATGTATATACTTTTAACTGGTGAATTTGACTAATATTTAAGAACACAAGTTAGTTCTTGGAAAAGAAAAGGCATCTGAGTTGAGCTGTTATTTGAACTGGATTTGTCCTCGTCCTGAAAAGTGGCTACTGTTGTGTATAATTCACACTCGATTTAGTCGATAGTTTTATAAATTCATGCATAAACTTAATAAGATTATGACCAACAAAATGAACAAGTTAGTACCAAGAAGACAATAAACGCTTAGAATAAGCGTTATAAATTTGACTTATCTTCTGGTTTATTCGCTATATATTTTTATATTGTTAATTACAAATTATTATTATTATCATTATTATTATTATTATTATTATTATTAGTATGATTATTATTATTATTATTATTATTATTTCATCATTTTTTTAAGTAAATAATGTGATCTTAGGCTATTCAAAACACAGAGTTGAAATTTGCTACGAATATTTTGTTAGCAGGTTTTGTTGATCCTAACCTAGACCTCTTTGGGGATTTCTTAGATTGTGTACCCCCAAATGTGATAAGTAAAAAAAAATATATATTACTTATGTGTCTTCAGATATTTTGAAGATAATCCGGCCAAAGACATATCTTGCCTTGTTCATTTGACAAAATTGAATAATTTGATATGTTATTCATTTAATTTTATTTTATTTTTTCATTACGCCGCGTCATGTGTGAAGTAATTTTATTTTAAACTAGGCTTGCTCCACGAACGATGGCGAACCAAGTTGACAAATCAAATATTTAAAAAAAATTATGTTGCTAAAATGTTATTAGAAATTTTGAATTTACTTGAAGATGACGAGAATTTTCTCCCTCTCTCTCACTCTCTCTCTCTCTCTCTCTCTCTCTCTCTCTCTCTCTCTCTCTCTCCGGATAATTTAGGTCGGTAAAGAAAAATATTTTTAAAAAGATCAATAAATGAATAAGAAAGAAAGTAAGTAATTTTTCATAAAAATATACAAAAATATATATCATTCTTCTCGCATGGATATCTTCTGAGGTGTAACATGTGTATTTCACATTCCGATATTTCTACGTTCCGAAGTTTATGATTTAAAAGAAAATATTTGGTTAAACAAATATTTATATTTGGAATTGTCAATTACACCATTACGCTTTCTTTTTTTTTCTTTTTTTCTTTTTATAAAAGCGTACGTAAGCAATTCTTTAAATGACAACTGGTTTTGTTGAATATGGGCAAAGACAAAAACTGACAACAAAATTTGTCGCTATTTCACAACACTTACTTAGTCGAACTGTCGCATGTTAACATTATCATCAAAATCACGCAAGAGCAATATTTGTTTTTTTTTATTTGAATACGTGGAAAAACAACCTCAATTCAAACTAAAACGCACACATACACAGACAATTCTTTTTATTTGCATTAGTAGGTTTAGCTCAGTGTTAGAATTAGTAATTCCATAATTTTTCAGAATATTTTATTAGATTATGCCTAAATGGTAATATATATATATATATATATATATATATATATATATATATATATATATATATATATATGTGTGTGTGTGTGTGTGTGTGTGTGTGTGTGTAATAATATTTATTATTATTATTATTATAAACGTTATTTTAGGAGATACACGAGTAGACATTACCATTTTTTACAAATAGAAAATTAATATTCACCGGTCTAGATATGCAAATTCTTACTAGGGGTATATTCTCTTCAATAATACTTCCTACATCTAGGCTTTTAGGTATTAATTTCACATATGTATGTATATATATATATATATATATATATATATATATATATATATATATATATATATATGCGGGTGTACTGAATAGCTCTCTGGCCAACCAGGAAACTAGACACAAAAAAATCTGATGTTTGGTTATTTTTCTCAGATTTTGAGAAGTTGGTCGGAACGAGAATTTTTCAGCATCCGTTTAGTGTACACATGCATATACATATACATACATACATACATACATACATACATATATATATATATATATATATATTATATATTTAACAGGATTTTAGTTTACAGATAAATGCTTAAATATAAGGGGTAAATATCAGTAGCTTTCAAAACGAGAAGAACAAAGGAAATGTATGTCTCGTCCTAAGAATTCAAATACTCTTACTTCTGTTTAAAAATGAGCTATTTATTTGTAATTAAAAATGAAAGATGAAATAATGTCCAGATTAAAAAGACACAAACATGTAAACATTTTGAATAATGGTTCGAAATGCATTGACGAAACACGAAACCATTTCTTCGGAATACCTTAGGAAAACTACTTTCATCATTTTGTGCAAATGGCTCGAAAGCATAACAAAATGTTTAAGAGAAAAAGAAAGAAAAAAAGGGTCTAAAATTTCGCAAATAAAGCGGAGAAAACGAATATCAATACAGGACCCAAAAATGTAATGAAAATGTGCTCGAATTGATGGGTAATGAAGAAAGTCCTACTCTGATGAAAGAGAATGATGTCTCAAACACAAAACTCGAAACATTTCCTGAACTCTATTTATTCATATATTTATTGAATGTTTACGCCAATAATGACTGGTGATCAACACAGGAGATTAAATGAGAGAAAGTCTCGTCAATACTCTCCATTGTATCGTAACTCTTTTCAGCAACGCTGCCGTTAAAACTATCCCGACCCATCCGCTTCTTTTCCAGTTACTTGAGGTCTTTTGCGTAGGCTCTTCGTGACCGTTTCTAGTGCTCCAATAATTACTGGCACCACTATTATTATTATTATTATTATTATGGAATATCAAAATAATTATTTTCTATCACAATTCCTTCTTCAAAAGCAAATATAGCTTCTTTCTATTCCTTGCTATATAAATTTAAACTCTGCAATTACTATATTATCTAATTTCCACGGAAATTTATTAGTACCAATGGTAGCAGTTTTGTCTTAAGAATGTATTTTTGGGTTTCAGTTATATTATCTTCTCAGCCATATATATATATATATATATATATATATATATATATATATATATATATATATAATGATAATTTTTTTATATATATCAAGAACTATTTTAGGCGAAAAGAAATATGCCAAAGTGTGACGCGTTTGTCCGACGGAGTGCTAAAGGGCACTACATAAAAACTTGTTCCATTTAGTCATACTTCGTTCCCCATATATATATAATATATATATATATATATATATATATATATATATATATATATATATATATGGTATTAGTTTCTCATGTTCTTTGAATTACACTCTACTTTAACCTTTTCAATTATTTTAATGATTTCCCGCATCAGTTTATACATTTTCTCCCGTGCGAAGTCCTGGTAATATTTTAAGAGTCATTTTGTGGTATATCAGTTTTGCACCATCTGTGAAATTTCGGTGATATCTTGTCTCCCTATCAGACGAGATAGAAACAAATATTACGTGAAAATAGTAAAATGAAAATACATAAAAAAAAAAACAATGCTAAACCCTAAAATATTTCCTCTCTCGGTTAAAATAATGATACAACACCCCAAATCGTGGAGAGATGAAAATGAGAGAAGAAAAAGAATTCAAATCAATCAAGTTTTCGGCTTGAATTCAGATTTTCTGGAATTAAAAATATAAGTTATTTTGTTTGAAATAACTTATTGAGTAAAATGAAAAAAAAAACAATAAGACTTCAGATATCATTGGAAAAGGTCTGTTTTCAACAAGCATATAACACACTGTCCCGGTTGTCATATATATATATATATATATATATATATATATATATATATATATATATATATATATATATATAAAAGAAAAAAAAGAACTTTTTAAAGCTTTAAATGACAGTCTTTAAATTTAAGAAAAGAAATCTACAAAGTTACAATAACAAAAGCCAAAATATTTTCTTTTCTACTCCCTACACACTTTCAATCATAATTATATAAATTGTCTGTTTTATCATTATTATTATTATTATTATTATTATTATTATAAAAATATATGTTAGTGAATACACCTGTTTCAGTAGTAACCGCCATTTTTTCCAAATAGTGAAATTAATTTCCACCGGTCTAGACATTCCATCCTTGCTGGGGATATATTTTCTTCAATAATACTTTCTAGATCTAGGCTGGTAGGCTTTAATCTCATATCTATCTATCTATCTATATATATATATATATATATATATATATATATATATATATATATATATATATATATATATATATATGTTTGTGCCAAATAGTTCCCTAGCCATCCAAGAAACTATACTGACGTCTAAAATCTGACGTTTGGTCATTTTCTCAGATTTTGAGAAGTCGGCCGGACCGAGAACTTTTCCGCATCCGCTGAAACACACACACACACACACACACACACACACACACACACACACACACACACACACACACACACACAACACGATATATATATATATATATATATATATATATATATATATATAAAAGAGTGAACTTTTTAAAAGGTCGAAAGTTTTAAACAAAAGTCTTTGAACATTGGAAAAACTATACAAAATTTCAATAACAAAAAGCCAAAATAATTTGAATCCTGCTCCCTATTCTCTTGATCATAATTATATAAATTGTCTGTATTTTTTTTTTTTTTTTTGCTTTGATTTGCAATGTTGTATGTGAGCGGAAATGACGTAACTTTATTGCTTTTTTTCTCTTCTCTTACGCCCATCTTTTAACAACCCCAGGTAAGCACAGATATTCACACAAAACGTTTACCTTTGCTTAACCAGTCCTTCTCTTTATCTTCTTTTGGGAAATACCCCCACTTTTAATCTCTAAACCTCTTTAATATTTATTTAATTCCATTTTAAAGAAACTCGCACACAATACTTAATATTTTGTGTATATGTTTTTGTATATTTCTAAAACTAGTCTTCCATTCAGTTAAGATCTCGCAGTTTCTCGTTCAGTTTCACCGGATGCAGTTTAAAAGCGACTACACACACCAAAACAAGCACATACAAAAACCACACAGACTTATACATATATATATATATATATATATATATATATATATTATTTCAGCTTCGCAATGGTGCAGGTATTAAAGGGAAAAGAACAGGATTTGTTCTTTCTGTTTGGGGAAATGAAAGGCATAAATGACGATATTAATTAATGCAATCGTCATTAAAAAATAGTAGCCTTGCAAGAATATCAGATCAATAGAATTTGGTTTGAAAATTTTTTAGAGAAGCAAAACACACATACACGCACGCACATATATATGAGATATGCCGTGGGGTAATGGCTAGCAAATTCGTGTCGCAGAAGAAATTCGGTAGAATAATTATGTTCTATTTGGCTAGATTTGTAACGTTTATTGGAACGGAAAGTGAAACCGACGTTCTGAGTTTGATTCTTAAAAGGATCTCTTATGCCCTACTCTTGAAAAGGGGACAAGAATCCATCTTCCTTTCAGTTATAGGCTAAATCATAAATCACACTGGATTTTTCTGGCTTTGGGCAACAACCACTCTAGGAAAAGGAAAACTCGTGAAGCGGGAAAAGGACGTTCATTTACACTGAAGTATGGTGTCGCTATTCGCAGAAATTAATCTTCCACCAGCTGTACTGAACCTCGCTTTGTTGCTGGATTCTGGAACAGGTGTCAAGAAGGTGTATGTGGACCTGTGTAATGTATCCCATCTACTTTGATGCTACCATTGTTATAATGTAAGTATAGTAACTCGTGGATTAAAATGGCGATAGGGTGAAATCATGTCTCAACGTTCCTGCTATTTCCTCGATAATCTAGATGTTTTTAAAATTCCTGCTGTCTAGGTGTTTCCAGACCCGACATGAATTTCTAGTTCCTCAATTCATATTTTTTTTCATAGCTTCTTCGGGATCGTTCTCGGTGTTCCGTTAAAGACTGGAACCACTGCTATATT